GAGGCGGGGCATTTTTTCTCGGCGCGGGCGCGGTGGCGAAGGCGAGGCGGGGCCTGCGCCGACGCGGCACTCAGCTACCGAAAACATCCAAGCCGCCTTCAGCGAAAGATGGGCGGGCGTACAATCGTGGACACCTCTATTTGAACATTGATAACAATGAAACAACTATAAAAACCAGAAACCGTGCAAATGGACCCCTGGGAAGCTTTGGCAACTACAACACGAGTGACAAAGCCTAGCTACTGACTGGCATTCACAAAACAAAAAACCATCTCGAGCGTCAAACCAAGGGTTCCAAGAAGCATCCACGATTATGCACCTGAAGATGGGGCAGGAGGCGGACCAGGAGCACGCGATGTCAGACCGTACGCACAGCGAATGTGCTGGTGCTCGACGAGACGAGCTGCTGCACCTGCTCTGGCGTGCGCGGCACGGGGGCCCCGCAGGAATCGACCCACCACAGGGAACCCGCGTGCCGCGCCACGCATGTCCAATGCGCATCGTGGTGGTTCACCACGAGCCCGACGACGGCAGGCGAGCCGAGCAACGCCCCACCGGCATCTGGCGAGACGGGGGTCTCGATCATCTGGAAAGCAGGCGGCATGGTGCGGTCCAGCGCCATGGCCAGCACGCCGTGGGAGTACCACCCGTCGCCTCGCTTGTGCCTCCGCACATCGTCGCCTGACTCCGCAATGACGAAGCCGCAGGCGTCGCTCATCATTTCCGCTGTGTACATGGGCGACCCGAACAGATTGTTCAGCGCGTGCTGGCCGCGCGCGCTCCTCAGGGGCTCCTGCTTCTCGAAGTACCTGTCGCCCCAGAGGGTCTCGGCGTCGCCCGCTGGCGCCTCGCCGATTGGCAAAGGCCCTGAAGCGAAAAGGCCACCGTCCGCGTCGCCGCCGACCTCCAGCAGCTCGTCGGGGTCGGCTCCGATCACCCCGTCGTCGTAGGCGGGGATACCGAGGCTCTCCGTGAGGCTGGATACCGAGGGAGGAGGAGGGGGAGGAGGAGGAGGAGGAGAAGGAGGAGGAGGAGGAGGAGGAGGAGGAGGAGCGAGGAGGAGGAGGTGGGGGGGGGGGGAGATGAGGAGGGCGAGGAGGTGGCGGTGAGGATGAGGAGAGGAGGGATGGGGAGGAGGAGGAGGAGGAGGAGAAGGAGGAGGAGGAGGAGGAAAGAGGGAAGGATTAGGGAGGGAGGGAGGAGGCGGGGATAAGAGGAGGGGGAATGCATGGGATAACAGTTGGGAGGAGGAGGAGGGGCAGGAGGAGGAATAGGAGGAGGAGGAGGAGGAGGAGGAGGAGGAGAAGGAGAAGGAGAGGGGACACCGTCGCACTGCTCAACTCCGTAGTGGTGGAAGCCGTGGTACTGCTCAACTCCGTGGTACTGCTCAAACCTGTAGTGGCGGTCACCGTGGCACTGCTCGAACCTGTAGCGGTGGACACCGTGGTAGTAGGAAGAGGAGGAGGAGGAGGAGGAGGAGGAGGAGGAGGAGGAGGAGGAGGAGGAGTGGAGGAGGAGGAGGAGGAGTTGGAGATGAGGAGGGCGAGGAGGGGCGTGAGGATGAGGAAAAGGAGGGATGGAGGAGGGAGGAGGAGGAGGAGGAGGATGAGGAGGAGGAGGAGGAGGAGAAGAGGGAGGGATGGAGGGAGGGAGGAGGCGGGGATAAGAGGAGGAGGAATGCATGGGATAACAGTTGGGAGGAGGAGGAGGGGCAGGAGGAGGAACAGGAGGAGGAGGAGGAGAAGAAGGAGTAGGAGAAGGAGGAGGGACACCGTCGTAGTGCTCAATTCCGTCGTCCTGGAATCCGAGGTACTGCTCGAACCTGTAGTGGTGGTCACCGTGGTACTGCTCGAACCTGTAGTGGTGCACGCCGTGGCAGTGCTCAACTCCGTCGTGGACACCGTGGTACTGCTCAACTCCGTAGTGGTGGACGCCGTGGTACTGCTCAACTCCGTGGTACTGCTCGAACCTGTAGTGGCGGTCACCGTGGTACTGCTCGAACCTGTAGTGGTGGACACCGTGGTAGTGCTCAACTCCGCCGTGGTGGACACCGTGGCGGCGAGCACCCCGCGGCAAGCCCGCGGCCCTCCGCCATGGCGGGCGGCCTCCGCCCTGGCCCCCGCCCGCGCGCTCAGCGTGCGCGCGGCCCGCCTTGAGCCAAAATGGTTACGGTTTTCGGTTTGTTGGTCGCACGCCCCGTGTGCCGACGCCCGTCCCGGCCCCGGTGGCCTGGTCGGGGGCCACGACCCAGTGAAGGCGCCCGTCCCGGCCCCGGGGGGGGGGCTAAGCTCCGCCAGCTCCAAGTTTTCAATTTACCAACAATGATAAAATATCATTTTCCAAGAAGAACAAGATATCAACAACAAGCTGGGGCCGGGACGGTGGTCGCAACGAACAACAACAACAACAGCAACAACAGCAACAACAACAACAACAACAACAAACCGGCGATGCCTCCTGGCGCTGGCATGCACGGAATAATCGACCTCGATTACTCCGTGTATCCGAGGCAGATTATAACTTGATTCCTATTTGGACCTGCGTATTGGATACACGGAGTAATCGCACTCGATTGCTCCGTGTATCCAAAGCAGATTCGATTTGGATTCCTATTGGAAGCTGCATATTGGATGCACGGAATAATCGCACTCGATCACTCCGTGTATCCGAAGCAGATTCGATTTGGGTTCCGACTGGAACCTGCATATTGGATACACGGAGTAATCGCACTCGATCACTCCGTGTATCCGAGGCAGGTTCTATTTGGGCTCCGACTGGAACCTGCATATTGGATACACGGACTACTCGCACTCGATGACTCCGTGTATCCGAGGCAGATTCCAATTGGATTGATATTGGATACACGGAACAATCGCACTAGATTACTCCGTGTATCCAAGGCAGATTCTAATTTGATTCCTAATACCACCTGTATATTGGATACACGAAGTAATCGCATTCGATTACTCCGTTTATACTGGCGCCAGCAAGCGTCGCTAGCAACAACAACAACAATAATAACAACAATCATTTTAAGACTGCTCGTCCTTATCTGGTCGAAGTGTCCAGTAACGCGAATTTCCCAAACCCTCGATACCCGCCCTTGTCGTCTTCGATCGAACCCCTTTTGGGGGGTATACTCTTCCCTGCAGGCCGGGCCCCGGCAAGTGGCGGGGCGGCCGCGGACCGTCGGCCTGGCCAGCGGCAGCGCTGATCGGCGGGGCGGCCGCGGACCGTCGACCCGACCCCAAGAGGGACGGACAGGGGACCGACCACGACGACGACGACGACGACGACGACAACGACGACGACGGCAACGACGGCGACGGCGACGGCGACGACGAGCGAAAGCGAGAGCGAGAGAGAACGACAGCAGAGCCACGAAGGACACGAAGTAGGCCACGAAGGGCGACAGCGGGGACACGAAGGGAATGCGTGTGGGGCCACGAAGAGCGCGAACGAGCGTGGGCCACGAAGGGCAAATAATTCGGGGCCACAGAAGGCAACGATGGGGCCACTGAGGGTAACACCTGGGCCACGTAGGACAATGAGGGGGCCACAAACGGCGACAGCGGGGCCACGAAGGGCATGCACATGGGGCCACAACGGGCGCGAACGAGCGGAGGCCACGAAGGGCATACGTATGTTGGGCCGCGGAGGGTAAGGACGGGGCCACTGAGGGCAGCAACGGAAACACGAAGGGCAGCGAGGGGGCCACGAAGGGCGACAGCGGGGCCACGAAGGGCATGCATATGGGGCCACCACGGGCGCGAACGATCGGGGGCCACGAAGGGCATACATATACGGGGCCACGAAACAAAGCGAGGGGGCCACGAAGGGCTGCAACGGGGCCACGAAGGGCAGCGAGGGGGCAACACTGCAACGGGCTGCAACGGGGCCACGAAGGGCTGCAACGGGGCCACTGGGCAGCGGGGCCACGAAGGGCTGCAACGGGGCCACGAAACAAAGCGAGGGGGCCACGAAGGGCTGCAACGGGGCCATGAAGGGCAACGAGGAGGCCACAGGGGGCTGCAACGGGGCCACGAAACAAAGCGAGGGGGCCACGAAGGGCTGCAACGGGGCCACGAAACAAAGCGAGGGGGCCACGACGGGCTGCAACGGGGCCACGAAGGGCAGCGAGATCCCGATTCCTAGGTAATCTGTGAAGGGGTCCTAAGCGTGAGCGCGACTCCTGGGTGCCTGGGTGTCGGGAGCGCGGCGCTGGAGTAAATTGCAAGATATCCAACGCAAGGGCGCTATTCTTCAGTAAATTGCAAGCAAGTCTCCAGCGAGAGCGCGACTCCAGAGCGCAGGAGGAGCGATTCCTGAATAAACCGTAAGGAAGTCCCAAGCGAGAGCGCGATTCTTGAATCAAATGCGAGGAAGTCTCGGGCGGGAGCGGGGGTCCTGGCTAAATTGTGAAGAAATCTCAGGCGGGAGCCGTTGTTGTTGTAACCTGGGAGCCAGGGGGCCAGTTTGAGCAGGAAGACTTTCTTTGACAAAAAAACCAGGTGCGAGCCCCGGGGGGGGCACTTCAATTGAAAAAAATCAATGTGCACCGGTGGGGGGGATCAACAATAATTATTCTTCAAGAATGAGAGAACAACAACAACAACAACAACAACAACAACAACAACAACAACAACAACAACACCAACACCAACAACAACAACAACAAGAACAATAACAACAACAGCAGCAACAACAACAATAACAACAACAACAACAACAACAACAACAACAACGACGGCAACGGCAACAGCAACAACAACAGCAGCAACAGCAACAACAACAGCAACAACGACAACATCATGATGATGATCATCATCAACAACAAAACACTGACACCAACCACAACAGCAGCAACAACAACAAAACCAACAACTACAACTACAACTACAACTACAACAACAACGCAACAAGCATAATTCTCACCACGAGTTCCTTATTCAGCCACGCACCCAGGGACAATGAATGACTGTTCGCCCCCTCACTCCGACAGAGATGACGTCGGGCTCCAGCTTTGCTTTCCACATCTCGCTGAGCAGTACCAGCGCCCGCTGCCACTGCTCGCCCTTCTCGCACGCGCTGATCCCAGCATTGTAGCTGATGGTGCTGGGCTCCAGCTTCGCCTCCCGCATCTCGCTCAGCAGCGCTAGCGCTCGCTGCCACTGCTCGCCCTTCTCGCACGCGCTGATCCCAGAGCTGTAGCTGACTGGTGTGTGCCTGTGGTATGGTCACCGCTATCGACGTTGAGAGGGGGGGCAGTGCTTGTAGGGCGTGCCTGGTGGCAGCCGACAAGCGTTCGTACTGTTCTCCAGCGTGGAGCGCACGGACTGGCAGGGGGGCGCTGGAGCGATGGAAGGCCAGGATCCTTGACGGTAGCCAAGGTGGAGGCTTTCGGACGTGTTGCCTGTGTCGGGAGGCTTGTGGATGCCACGACATTGGACACCCTAGCAGTCCTATCATTGAATTAAAAATGTGTTTAACATGCTGGAGCAATGTTCTAAACATGCTTTACAATATTCTTTACATGTTTAAGACATGCTTTACACATGTTTTAGACATCTGGAGATTATTTGGCAACATTATTCCTCCACTGATCGTCCTCCACAACGGTAGGAAGGTCGAAGTGTCGGCCTCGACCGCGCCGAGGTCGCCGACGCGAGAAGGAGGAGAGCGAGAGAGGGCGCCGGAGCGAGGGCAAGAGGCTCCCAGAGCCAAGGCCGGCCACAAGGGGGGAGCGTCCGAGAGGGGGGGCGCAGATTCTGACCAGCGGCACGTGCGCGGCCCAGGGGAGGGGGGCCAGGGACGTGTTGAAATACGAAGAGGCGCCATGGAACCTGGGGAGATCTCATGGCCCTCGCCACGATATCCACCCGACCCCCCAGTCATCACCCCCCTCGCTGCCGCCCGCGACAGAGGCAGAGGAGGGGAAGGGAGGAAGAGAAGAGAGGGGAACGGGGAGAGGAGCTTTCTGAGGCTTTGTTAGGGTACAGTGGGGGCTCGGCCACAAGAAACCTCTGCAAGAAACCCAACCCTGAAATCCGAGATTTGTTCAGTGCATTTCTAAAGTTGTCGATCGAAAATCGTCAAGATCTTATTCGGGGCCCATCGAAATCCAAGAAACCCAGGGCACCCTGGCAGAATCCAACTGGTTTCTTGGCACGCGTCCCTACGTATGGGGTTTCTTTGTGGCTGATTGCTGTCGTTGACGTGTCCCCCCTGTCACCCATAATCGGCCGTGTAGGGGGGGGGGAGGGGGCGACTGGCCTATGCCGGGAGGAGGGGAGGAGAGGGTGAGGGGAAGGAATGCGGGAGGAGGAGGAGGAGGAGGGCGGGACACGAGAGAGGGGTGAGGAGCCACCCAGAGGAGGAGAAGGAGGAGCAGGAAGAGAAGAGAGGAGAACAATGACAGGGATTCTCTGGAGCGTCACTTGGGATTCGATTGCATTATTTGGGGCTGCTGGTGATCCAGAAACGGTCAAGGGTGCTGGGGGCACGAGGCTCTCTTGGTAGCTCCCTGGCAGCTATTGGAGTGTTTCGTTGGGCTTGGGGGCACCTGGGATAGTCTGGGGCCGCTGTGGGGTCTGGGACTGCCTTGGGGACGTCTGAGAATCCAGCAAGGGCGAAAGGTGCTGGGACTGGCGGCTCTCGTGGGAGCTCCCTGGCAACTTGCAGGGTCCGCTGGGAGGCTGGCGAGCATCCCAGAGCGGTCCTTCTTGGACAGCTCTTGGGAGCCTCTCGAGCCATTGTGGGGCCCTCCTGGGCCGTCTCGGGGGCTTTCGGGTGCCTTGGGACCGTGCTGAGGGTCTGGGGCCGTCTGGGAGCGCTGGCGGGCCGTCTGTGGGCGATCCTGGAAGGACCTGCAGAGCCGTGGGGGGCCGTTCTGGGCCCCTCAAGAGAAAGTGAAACGAGTTGTTCCCTACACTAGGCTCTGCCTAGAAGGGTTCTTACTCTCTTGGCTTAAAGGGCCGGGCAGTGGGAACCGGCCCGGGCGGTTCCCCCAGTATCCGCCCCGCGCTTCCCCCAGCTACGTCCCCTTAGCTTAGCGTTGCTTATCTCATCTTAGCTTAGCTCATTTCATCTAAGCTTAGCTTAGTTTCATTAGCATGGGTGTAATTCCCTACCTAGGCTATGCCTAGAGGGTTATTTTAGCCTAGCTTAGCTTAGCTTAGCATAGCGCAGCGCTGCATTAGCATAGCAGCGCATAGCATAACACAGTCAACCATATCATACCATCACATAGCATATCATAGCATAGCGCAGTATATCATAGCATAGCATATCATAGCGCAGCTTAGCATATCATACCATAGCTTAGCATACCACAGCGCATCATGACATGTCATATCATAACTTAGCATAACATAGCAGAGCGCAGCATGGCATAGCATAACATAGCGCCGCATAGCATGGCATAGCATAGCATACCATAGCAACTAATGCTGCTTTCCCAGGGGTTCCAACCTCTAGGTAGGGTCGCCCTGGGGTAATTTCATTTAAGTCAATTTCAAAGTTCACATTCAAGCGCGTTAACAAAAAACAAACAACACAACGGAAACACGATGGACAACAGCACGATGAACAAAACAAAGGGCCAACACCTTACTAAACATCGTTTTGGTCGGTCCTTGGGAAAAACATTGGACAACGCACAATTGTTGCTTGAACTATTTGGGCTTCGTGGGGCCGTCTCAGGGCCAAGCGTCGGCCAACGGCCCCGCCAGGGGGGCCACGTTTTGCGAATCGCTGCCCGGGCCTCACTAGCCTTAGGTCGGGCATATGCGAAAGATGAGAAATGCCCGAACAATACCCACAAATGCTGCTATTTGTTTGACTCCTTGGGGACATTTCTCCTGTAGAAGGACGTGCCCGACTGGAGTTCGAGGAGGAGGAAGTGGATGAGGAGGAGGAGGAGGAGGAAGCGGAGAAGGAGGAGGAGGAGGAGGAGGAGGAGGAGGAGGAAGAGGAGGGAGAGGAGGAAGAGGAGGAGGAGGAGGAGGAGGAGGAGGAGGAGGAGGAGGAGGAGGAAGGGGAGGGGAAGGGGAGGTGGGGGGGGAGGAGGAGGAGGAGGAGGAGGAGGAGGAGGAGGAGGAGGAGGAGGAGGAGGAGGAGGAGGAGGAGGAGGAGGAGGAGGAGGAGGCGGAGGAGGAGGAGGAGGAGGAGGAGAGGAGGAGGAGGGGGAGGGGGAGGGGGAGGGGGAGGGGGAGGGGGAGGGGAAGGGGAAGGGGAAGGGGAAGGGGAAGGGAAGGGGAAGGGGAAGGGGAGGGAGGAGGAGGAGGAGGAGGAGGAGGGAGGAGGAGGAGGAGGAGGAGGAGGAGGGGACGAGGGCTACCCTCCGCCGCCGCCGCCGCCGTTACCGCCTGGCGCCCGCAGCCCGCCTGGCCCTCGGCCCGGGCGCCCGCCTGGGGCCGATCCCGCGGGGTCCTCGTGGGCCGCCTGTGGAGTCCCTTAGCCGATCGCTTCGGGCCCTCCTGGCACGCAACGAAAGGCCAGCTTCGGATCCCCCATTGGGCCCTCCTGTCGCCCAGGGCTCGGCCCAAACGACAATGTGGTTTCGTGCTCGTGCTGTCTTCCTGCTCCCTCGTGGTGTCTTCCAGCCGCCTCGGCTGCAAAAAGCGGCATCGAAGCGAAGACGGCGCACGACATTCGCCAAAGCACTTTAGGTCCACCCCTGCTGCCGCCCTCGTGAGATCATGAGCTATCCTGGGGCTGTCTGAGCCTGGTTCGAGGCCATCGGGTGACCCGCTGGCGCCCAGAGGCGCATGAGTATCTCGCTGATCCGTTTCGCAAACGCTCCGCCCTGAATGCTAATACAGATGACGTCGGGCTTCAGCTTCGCATCCCACATCTCGCTGAGCAGCGCCAGAGCCCGCTGCCACTGCTCGCCCTTCCTGCACGCGCTGATCCCAGCGTTGCAGCTGATGACGTCGGGCTCCAGTTTCGCCTCCCGCATCCCGCTGAGCAGCACCAGAGCCCACTGCCATTGCTCGCCCTTCTCGCACGCGCTGATCCCAGCGTTGTAGCTGACTAGGGCTGACCCGCGGCCTCCGGCCGCGGAATTTGCCCGCCCTGGCGTGCACGTGGAAGTGGAGCGTCTCTGGGGCCTCGCGGGTAAGAGGAGGTTGGAGGGGACAGCGTGGATGGAGGTGGCCGCCGGAGGGGAAGGTGGGCGAGGGATGCAGGCAAGCAGGCCTGAAGGCAGGAACGCGGTGGTGGAGGCGGTGTCAGTGAAAGCACACCCATGCAGGCATGACATGTTGCGGACAGAAGCTGTTTCTGACGCCGCAGTCTGTGTTCATCATAGCTTCTGCGGGGAAGGTAGCCGTGAGAAGTTGATCTGCTCTTCGCCGGGGCCGAATGATAATTTCATCTGGCAGTGTGGTGACAATGGGACCAGTGGGCGCGGCCTAGGAGGCCCGCAAGAGGGCGGCGAGACGGAACTCCCTAAGAAGGGCCCCATTGCGAGGACACGAATCGACTGTTCGAGCGCACCTCCCCAAGACGTCCCCAAATAGCGCAGAGATGGCTCCCAGAGGTTCCAAGAAGCATCTAAAACGATGCTGGAAGTTCGACGCTCCCCAAGAGAGAAGCATCCAAGGCCTATCGAGGGGCCGCTTGGGGGCCTCTTTTCGTCGTCCTGGGGGTGGATCTCTCGGAGACGTCTTTGGCAATTTTGAATGCATCTTGGGCCATCTTGGGGCGATGTGGGGCCGTCTTGGGCGCCTCTCGGACCGTCTTGGAACAATATTGGGGCCATCTTCGGCCAATATTGGGCGCTGCTGGGGCTGTCTTTGGTGAGCCGTCTCGGGCGCCTTTGGAGCCGTCCCGGACGGCCCAGAGACCGTCTTGGAGACTATCCAAAGGGAAGGGCTTGGAGACGGGGCGGCGGGGGCCTCTACAGCCGTCTTGGAGACGGGGCGGTGGAGCCGTCTTGGGCCATTATTAACTGCTCTTGGGGCTGTCTTGGGTGCGTCTTGGGCCGTCTCGGGTGCCTCTGGAGCCGTCCCGGGGCAGAGTGTGGCCCTTTGGGCGCCCTCATGGGGGCGTCTGGGCGCGTCTTGGGGCGAGCTGGGGGGCCTGTACTGTATAGCCTTCTGGACGCTGCGAAAACGAAAAAGCAAGATATATTGAAAATGTACGTTTCCCGTCGGGAATGGGAAGGTTTGGGCCTCTTGGGGCTCTCCTGGAGGCCCTCCTGGGCCGTTTTTGGGAGCCTCCTGGCCTGCCTTGGGGGCCTCTGGGGCTGCCTTGGGGCTCCCAAGGGTGCTCTGAGGCCGTCTTGGCGCCTCCTGGAGCCTCTCGGAGCTGTTCCGTTTGCCATTCTTGGCTGCTCTTGGGGCTGTCTTGGGTGCGTCCTGGGCCGTCTCGGGCGCCTCTGGAGCCGTCCCGGGGCCGTGTGGGGCACTTTGGGGGCCTCTGGGCGCGTCTTGGGGCGAGGTGGAGGGCCTCTATAGCCGTCTTGGACGCTTCGAGGGCGAACCAATAGAACATAGCGAAAATGTGCGTTTCCCGTCGGGAGTGGGAAGGTTTGGGCCTCTTGGGGTTCTCTTGGAGGCGCTCCTGGGCCGTTTTTGGGAGCCTCCTGGCCTGCCTTGGGGGCCTCTGGGGCTGCCTTGGGGCTCCCAAGGGTACTCTGAGGCCGTCTTGGCGCCCCCTGGAGCCTCTCGGAGCCGTTCCGTTTGCCATTCTAGGCTGCTCTTGGGGCTGTCTTGGGTGCGTCCTGGACCATCGTGGCCGTGTGGGGCCCTTCGGAGGCCTCTGGGCGCGTCTTGGGGCGAGGTGGAGGGCCTGTATAGCCGTTTGGGAGCCCTCCTGGGGTGCTCTGGGGGGGGTCCTGGCTTGGTGCCTCTTGGGCCATCTTGAGGCTCCCTGGGCCGTCTGGGGACGCGCTCGGAGGCCTGTTGGGCCGTCCTGGGACGGTCTTGTGGGTCTCTTCGGCCGTCTTGGAGCGTCGGCTAGCCGAGAAGGCGAGAAGGCACAATTCCTTCAAAAACCATAGAACAATTAAAGATTTTGGCCTCTGGGGGGATGCGTCGAGGTACTGTTGGATGCTCCTGGAGGCCTCTCGGGGGGGTCTTGGGGCCTTGTGTGGGCGCATGGGGGCCCAGGGCTCGGAATGCAGGGTTCTTCCCCGTTCTTTGGCCCCCTCTTGGGCCTGGCTCGGGGTCCTCTGGGGCCGGCTTGGGCGCCTCTTGGGCCATCTTGGGGCTCCCTGGGCCGTCTGGGGACGCGCTTGGAGGCCTGTTGGGCCGTCCTGGGGCGGTCTTGTGGGTCTCTTTGGCCGGCTTGGAGCGTCGGCTAGCCGAGAAGGTGAGCAGGCAAAACTCCATCAGAAACCATTGAACAATCAAAGATTTTGGCCTCTGGGGGCATGCTTCGGAGTACTGTTGGAGGCTCTTGGAGGCCTCTTGGGGGGGTCTTGGGGCCTTGTGTGGGCGCATGGGGGCCCAGGGCTCGGAGTGTTACGGTTTTTCCCCGTTCTTTGGCCCCCTCGTGGGCCTGGCTTGGGGTCCTCTGGGGCTGTCTTGGGCGCCTCTTGGGCCATCTTGGGGCTCCCTGGGCCGTCTGGGGACGCGCTTGGAGGCCTGTTGGGCCGTCCTGGGGCGGTCTTGTGGGTCTCTTCGGCCGGCTTGGAGCGTCGGCTAGCCGAGAAGGTGAGCAGGCAAAATTCCATCAAAAACCATTGAAACATTTAGGATTTTAGCCTCTGGGGACATGCTTCGGAGGACTGTTCGAGGCTCTTGGAGGCCTTGTTGGGGGCCTCTAGGGGGCCTCTTGGACGCTCCTTGGAGCCTCTGATGGCCACTGCGGCGCGTCTTTGGGCGGAGGGCTCGATTTGTGACACTCGGTCGGGGGCCACGGAGACTCCTATGGGGCCACTTGGGGGCCGTCTTGCGGCCTCGTGGGGCTTGCTTTCGGCTTCGTTGGGGCCTCTGGGGACCTCTTGTCGTTCCCTTGGGGGGGTCTTGGCGCCTTGTGTGGGCGTATGGGGGCCCAAGGCTCGGGGTGTTACGGTTTTTCCATGTTCTTTGGCCCCCTCTTGGGCCTGGCTTGGGGTCCTCTGGAGCCGGCTTGGGCGCTTCATGGGCCATCTTGGGGCTCCCTGGGCCGTCTGGGGACGCGCTTGGAGGCCTGGTGGGCCGTCCTGGGGCGGTCTTGTGAGCGTCGTCGGCCGTCTTGGAGCGTCGGCCAGCCGAGAAGGCGAGTAGGCAAAACTCTTTGAGAAACCATGGAAATCCGACGATCCGGCGTGTGAGTTTCTGAGAGCGTGGACTTGAGCTCGCTCAAGCTTCGCTCTGCAGGGGGGTGACGTTATTTCCGACGTTTTTCGGTACACGGGGATATTTCCGACGTCATTTCCGATGTTTTTCGGTACCTGGGGACAAGGGGGCATAGAAAACTCCACTTCCGGAGCCCCGACCGCCCAAGACAGCCCAAGAGGAAGCCAAGAGAGGCCCCAGAGGCCCCCTAGACAATGCAAGAGGGACCCGAATCGCCGAAACATCGCTCGAACCGCCCAAGATGCCCCGAAGACAGTTCCAGAAACCTGTAAGACGTCCCCAGGATCCCTCACGACACTTCCCAAGAATGCCCAAATACTGACAAATAGACCCATTCCGTTGGGAAAACGTATATTTTCGGTATGCTCGTTTCTTGGGCCTTCACAATGTCCAAGACGGCCCCAGAGCTCCCTAGGACACGCCAACAGGCCCCCAAGAGGGCTCCAAGACGGCCCCCGCAGGGCCCAAGACGGCCCAGGAGCGCCACAAGACGACCCAAGTCCAGAGCCCAGACCGCACAAGACGGCCCAAGAAAAAGCCAAGAGAGGCCCAAGAGGCCCCCTAGACGGTCCAAGAGGGCCCCGACTCCCCGAAACATCGCTCCAAGCCGCCCAAGATGCCCCCAAGACGGCTCCAGAAGCCTCCAAGACGTCCCCAGGATCCCCATCATCATCTCGCTCTCACCCCCCCGGATCGGTGGCACTGGCCGGAGGCCAGCCCAATGAAGGATCTTGGCCTCTGGGGGCATGCTTCGGAGAACTGTTGGAGGCTCTTGGAGACCTCTTGGGGGGGCCTTAGGGCCGTGTGTGGGTGTATGGTGGCCCAGGGCTCGGAGTGTCAGGGTTTTTCCCCGTTCTGTGGCCCCCTCTTGGGCCTGGCTTGGGCCATCTGGGGGCTCCCTGGGCCGTCTGGGGACGCGCTTGGAGGCCTCTTGGGCCTTCCTGGGGCGGTCTCGTGGTTCTGTCCGGCCGTCGTGGAGCGTCGGCTAGCCGAGAAGACGAGAAGGGACATGGAGGAAGGAAGGATTTGGGCCTCTGGGGGTATGCGTCGGGGTATTGTTGGAGGCTCTTGGCGGCCTCTTGGGGGGACTTGGGGCCTTGTGTGGGCGCATGGGGGCCCAGGACTCGGAGTGTCTGGGCTTTTCCCCGTGCTTTGGCCCCCTCTTGGGCCTGGCCTTGGGTCCTCCAGGGCCATCTCGGGCCTCTTGGGCCATCTTGGAGCTCTCTGGGCCGTCTGGGGACGCGCTTGGAGGCCTCTTGGGCCGTCCTGGGGCGGTCTTGTGGGTCTCTTCGGCCGGCTTGGAGCGTCGGCTAGCCGAGAAAGTGAGCAGGCGAAATTCCTTCCAAAACCATAGAGAAAGGAAGGATTTTACCTAACAGCGTAGACTGATAAGTTTCTAGTTGACTCAAAAGAGCTCACAGATCACTCCACAGGGGGGTCCGGGCAGGCGTTGGGAGTTGCCGGCCGGGCCTGTGCCGGGCTCGTTTTTCACCAACAGTCACACACTTCGTGCTCGTCGACCTCTCAGAACCCCATTCCCAGGCCACATTCTGAATAACCGGATGCAACAGTCACACACTTCGTGCTCTTCGACTTCCCAGAACTCCATTCCCGGGCCACATTTTGGATGCCCGGAGCCAACTGTAGGCCACTTCGTGCTCTTCGATTTCCCAGAACTCCATTCCCGGGCCACATTTTGGATGCCCGGAGCCAACTGTAGGCCACTTCGTGCTCTTCAAGTTCCCAGAACTCCATTCCTGGGCATGATTTTGAATGCCCGGAGCCAACTGTAGGCCACTTCGTGTTCTTCTAGTTCCCAGAACTCCATTCCTGGGCCACATTTTGAATGCTGAGGCAGGCTGATGCTGCGGCCGAGGCAGGCTGAGGCTGAGGCAGGCTGAGGCTGAGGCCGAGGCTGAAGGCAGACTGAGGCTGAGGCTGAAGCAGACTGAGGCTGAGGCTGAGGCAGGCTGAGGCTGAGGCTGAGGCAGGCTGATGCTGAGGCAGGCTGAGGCTGAGGCTGAGGCTGATGCAGGCTGAGGCTGAGGCAGGCTGAGGCTGAGGCCGAGGCTGAAGGCAGACTGAGGCTGAGGCTGAAGCAGGCTGAGGCTGAGGCTGAGGCAGGCTGAGGCTGAGGCAGGCTGAGGCTGAGGCTGAGGCAGGCTGAGGCTGAGGCTGTGACTGCGACTGCCGTTGCCGCTGCGACTGTCATCGCGAATGCGACTACGACTGCGAGAACAGCAGAATTCTACAACTGGATTTTCATCTGAATCTGAAGGGGAATGCTTTCAGATATGCTTCTACATATCGCTGTTAGGTTGCTTTGCCGGGATAATTGGCCTCTGGGGGCATGCGTCGGGGTACTGTTGGAGGCTCTTGGCGGCCTCTTGGGGGTGCCTTGGGGCCTTGTGTGGGCGTATGGGGGCCCAGGACTCGGAGTGTCAGGGCTGTTCCCCGTGTTTTGGCCCCCTCTTGGGCCTGGCTTGGGGTCCTCCAGGGCCGTCTCGGGCGCCTCTTGGGCCATCTTGGGGCTCTCTGGGCCGTCTGGGGACGCGCTCGGAGGCCTCTTGGGCCGTCCTGGGGCGGTCTTGTGGGTCTCTTCGGCCGGCTTGGAGCGTCGGCTAGCCGAGAAGGTGAGCAGGCGAAATTCCTTCCAAAACCATAGAGAAAGGAAGGATTTTGGCCTCTGGGGGGGATGCGTCGGGGTACTGTTGGAGGCTCTTGGCGGCCTCTAGAGCCTTGGTAGGGTCCTGCGCGCTTCCGTCCGCCATGGAGAAGAGAAGATGACGTCGGGCTCCAGTTTCGCATCCCTCATCTCGCTGAGCAGCACCAGAGCCCGCTGCCATTGCTCGCCCTGCTCGCACGCGCTGATCCCAGCGTTGTAGCTGATGACATTAGGCTCCAGCTTCGCCTCACACATTTCACTGAGCAGTGCTAGAGCTTGCTGCCACTGTTGGCCCTTCTTGCACGCGCTGATCCCAGCGTTGTAGCTGACTAGTGTGTAACCGTGTATTGATTCTACGATGTGCTGAACCAGGGACGGTCACACAGTGCATTTGAGCCGCTCGTACCGACGCAGAACATCTCGTCAGAAAGTGGTTGCGCGGCCTGGCAAGCCATGTCAAGAACCCGAAAGTTTCCCCGGGTGTCCCGAGTGAAGTGACGTGAAACACACTGGGTTTTTGATGATTTGCTGAAGGCGGCGCCCTGGGAGGCTCGTGTGCACGGCGCGGTCGGGACCCTGCCGACGCGAAACCATGGCGTTCTGCAGTGATCTGGGAGCGAATGGCAGGGACGTGCGGGGAGACGCCGGGTTCCCGCGGGGTTCCAAAGTCCACGACAGGACCGAAGCAGTGAAAGCCGAGCAGAACGCGAGAGTGCTGCGTGATGACGAGCTGCAGCGGCGGCGGGAGGTGGCGGCAACGGTCGCGGCGATGACGGCGGTACGGGCGGGAGCCGCCCCTGCGCTGGTAGGCGATGCTCTTGATCGCATGTGCGAGATGGTGCTCGCAGCCCCCGTGAAGTGAGACGGAGCGTGTTGCTTTGCCTTTTTTTGAATAATTCCTGCTGCAAAACCACTGTGCCCAACCGTCACGTGGTGTTGGTTCTTCGTTTTGCGGAGACGGCGGCCCGCGTCTCCTCCTCTCCTCTCCTCTTCTCCTCTTCTCCTCTTCTCCTCTCCTCCTCCGCCTCCTCCTCCTCCTCGCTCCTCCTCCTCGCTCCTCCGCCCTCCTCCGCCCTCCTCCTCCTCCTGCTCCTCCTGCTCCTCCTGCTCCTCCCCCCTCCTCCCGCTCTCCCCCTCCCCTCCTCCTCCTCCTCCTCCTCCTCTCCTCCTCCTCCTTCCTCCTCCTCCTCCTCCTCCTCCTCTCCTCCTCCTCCTCCTCCTCCTCCTCCTCGCTCCTCCCCCCTCCTCCCCCTCCTTGCCTCCGCATGCTTCTGTCCTGGCACACCGAATACAACGTGTCGTTGCCCAATCAGGAGCTCCACCGAAAGCCTCAGTGGCAGGGCCCGCATGCGGCCACCTCGCCATCTCAACACACCGGTCACACGCTTCGTGGCCCCATCGGGAGCTACCTCGAAGGCCCCAGTGCCAGGGCCCACGTACCGCCACCTCGCTCTTTTCGGCACACCCCGCACACGTTTCGTAGCCCTGTAGGGAGGTCCACCGAAGGCCCCAGTGCCAGAGACCGCATGCTGCCGCTTCGCAATTTCGGTACACCCCTCACACGCTTCGTAGCCCCATAAGGAGCTCCACCGAAAGCCACAGTGCCAGGGCCCGCATGCCGCCACCTCGCAATTTCGGCACATCCCTCACACGCTTCGTGGCCCCATAGGGAGCTCCACCAAAGGCCTCAATGGCTGCGTTCGCATGCGGTTCCACGCCCCCCATTTCGGCGAACCCCTCACGCGTTCCGTGGCCCCACATGGTGCCTCACCTGAGGCCCCAGTGGTAGCGCCCGCGTACGGTTCCATCCCACAGTGTGGCGCACCCCTCGTACGTTCAGTAGCCCCATAGGGAGCTCCACCGAACGCCCATGTGGGAAAAACAGCCTGCCGCCGACGGGCCACTTTGACACGCCCCTCGAACGTTTCGTGGCCGCATCGGAGGGTCCACTGAAAATGGTACGGACAACTGCGTTACGTATCACTGCTTATGGTTGGGTCTTCCGCCAGGCTAAAGTGTCCCAACAATCCTGTGGTGTTGGGTCCTCGTTTTGAAGAGATAGCGCCCAGCGTCGCTTCCCCCCTCATCCTCCCGTCCTTCCTCCCCCCCATCGTTGCCTCTGCCCTCCGCATGTTTCTGTTTCGGCACACCCAGTACAACGTTTCGTGGGCCCATAGGGAATTCCACCGAGGGCCCCAATGTCAGGGCCCGCATGCCGCCACCTCGCTCTTTGCGGCACACCCCTCACACGCTTCGCAGCCCATAAGGAGCTCCACCGAAAGCCACAGTGCCAAGGTCCGCATGCCGCCATCTCGCCATTCCGGCACACCCCTCACATGTTTCGTAGCCCCATATGCAGCTCCAACGAGGGCCCCAATGGCAGGGCCCGCATGCCGCCATCTCGCCATCTCAACACACCCCTCGCACGTTTCGTGACCCCATAGGGAGCTCCACCGAAGGCCTCAGTACCAGGGCCCGCATGCCGCCACCTCGCTCTTTTCGGCACAACCCCGTGGCCCCACAAGGAGCTACACCGAAGGCTCCAATGCCAGGGCCCGCATGCCGCCACCTCGCTCTTTTCGGCACACCCCTCACACGCTTCGTAGCCCCATAAGGGGCTCCACCGACAGCCCCAGTGCCAGGGCCCGCATGCCGCCGCCTCGCCATTTCGCCACACCCCTCACACGTTTCGTAGCCCCATATGGAGCTCCACCGAAAGCCTCAGTGGCACCGCCAGCATGCCGCCACCTCGCCATTTCGGCATACCTGTCACGCGCTTCGTGGCCCCATAGGGAGGTCCACCGAAGGCCCCAACAGCTGCGTTCGCATCCTGCTCCGCCCCCCCATTTCGGCGACCCCCTCACGCGTTCCGTCCCACATGGTGCTCCACCTGCGGCCCCAATGGCAGCGCCCGCATGCGGCTCCATCCTACCTTTTGGCGCACCCCTCGCATGTTTCGTGGCCTGTTGCGGCAGCACCGAAGGCCGCAGCGGCAAGGTCCGCATGTCGGTGCCACCCCATTTCTCCGTTTCGTGGCCCCATCCGGAGCTCCACCGAAAGCTCCAGTGGAAAAGGCCGCCTGCCGCCGACGGGCCACTTTGGCACACCCCTCACACGCTTCGTGACCACATCGGAGGATCCACCGACGATGGTAGTCAGAACTGCGGTACGTATCACTGCTTATGGTTGAGTTCTTCGCCAGGAATTTATGTTCTGGGGACACTCGGTTTCAACATCCTTACGAAACCCAAAGTTTTTGAAGGATTTCGGATGCGCGCGCGACGACGCGCGCGTGTGCACTTCGTCCCATGTCTTTGCAAGGGATTCTTGAAGCGGTGGCCCATTGTCGCTGGCAACCGTCTGGAGTCTGGGGCCTCTGGGGGCTCTCCTCGGCAATCTTGGGTTTCTCTTGGGCAGTCTTGGGGGGGCTCTGGGGCTCATCTCGGGGCCATGTTTGGGGTCTGGGGCCGTCTTTGAGCTCGTTCGGGGCCGCCCTGGGTGGGTCTGGGGGCCCTGTTGGAGCTGTCTTGGGGGGGCACTTGGGACTCTAGTGGGCCGTCCTGGGACTCCCCTGAACCATCTAAGGGAAGATTCAATCTAACCGTGAGAAAAAACAACACGTAAAACACAACACGTAAACAACAAAACGTAAACGTGAGAGAAAAGACAACACGTAAAAACAACACGTGAAAACAACACGCCAAAACAACACATAACACCAACACGTAAACACAACACGTAAAACACAACACCTAAAAACAACACTTACAAACAGTACGTAACAAACAACACGCAACAACACGCAAACACAACACGCAACAAACGCAATAACCAAACCAAAACAACGCCAGGAGAAAACGTAGAAAACAACACGTACAAACATAAAACTTTACAACAACACGTAACAACCGCACGTACAAACAACACGTAAACACAACACGCAATAACAACACGTAAACACAGCACGTGAAAACAATGATAACACAACATGCAAACGAGAGAGAACATAACAACACGTAAAAACAACACGCAATGACAACGCGCAAAAACAACACGTATAAACAATATGTAAAACAACACGTAACAACACATACAACAACAACACGTAAAACACAACCCGTAAAAACAACACGTGATCACAACACGTAGAACCAACAAGCAAACACAACACGCAAAAACAACACGCAACAAAGCAAAACAAACCAATGACAGAAGAAAACGTCGAAAACGAAACATAACACATAACACATGAAAACACCACGTAAAAAACAACACGCAAAAACAACACGTAACAACAACACGTAAAAGCAACACGTAAAAACAACACGCACAACAGCACGTAAAAACAGCACGTAAACGTACGGCAAACAACAGAACATCAAAAAACAACACGTAGAAACTACACGCAAAAACAACACGTTGGAAAAACATGTTAAACCAACACTTAAAACAACACGTACAATCACCACGCACAGCCAACACGCAAAACCAACACGAAACGAACGCAAAACCAGAAGAAAACAATAATCGAAACAACACGTAAACAAAGAAGACGTAACAACAACACGCACAAAAAAACACGCAAACACAACACCTAGACACAACGCGTGAACACAACACGTAAAGCACAACACGTAAAACCAACACGTAATCGACAACACGCAAAAACAACACACAAACACATCACTTAAAACAACACGTAAACTCAACACGTAAAACCAATACGTAAAAACAACACGCACAACCAGCACATAAAAACAACACGTAAAAACAAACGCAAAAAAACAACACGCAAGAACAAAACAAAACAACACAATGACGAAAAAAAACGTCGAAACAACACGTAAAAAGAGAAAACGTAAAAACAACATGTAAAACAATGCGTACAAACATCACGTAACAAACACTTGAAAAGAAAACGTAAAATCGACCCGCAAAAACAACACGTCAAAACAAAAGGAGGAGAAGGAGGAGGAGTTGGAGAAGGGCGTGTGTGTTGTGGGCGTGTGTGGTGTGTGTGTGTGTGTGTGTTGTGTGTTGTGTGTGTGTTTTTACGTGTGGTTTTAAGTGTGTGGTTTTACGTGTGGTGTTACGTGTTGCTTTTACGTGTTGCTTTTACGTATTGTTTTTACGTGTTGTTTTTACGCGTTGTTTTTACGTGTTGTTTTTGCTTGTTGTTTCTGTGTTGTGTGTGTGTTGTGTTCTGCGTGTGTTGTGTGTGTCGTGTGCTTTTACGTGTTGTTTTTAGTGTTGTTTCTGTGTTGTGTGTGTTGCGGGCGTGTGTGTTGTGGGCGTGTGTTGTGTGTGTGTGTGTTGTGTGCTGTGTGTG